CGGAACGTTACTGAATGTGTGAATAACTTTAAAAAATGGTTAGTAAAGAAAAAAATTTCAAATAAAAAGAAATCAAGGGTAAAAATAGTAATTATGATTTTTTTAGAAGGAAAGAAAAACAAAAAAGTACAGTACGATTATTTGGATTGGTCATCTATGATTCATCTCTTGGTCATCTATTCTATTCAAACGAACAAAGAAATGGAGTGTAACCAAGAATTAATTGTCACATAGAAAGAGAGATCGACTACGAGTAAAAAGAGGAAGAATCAAATTCAGTATAGTAAAAGGTAATGACCAAGTACATGTGAAGACATGGAATTTAGCACACGTAATGTTGTTGTGGGTAACATTAATTCCAAATCGGTAATTCGAATCAGAGAGAAACGTAGAAGAAAACAAATCAAAAAGAGATATCCAGCAACTAAGTATTACTATTAAGATTTGTAGTTTGGAAATGAGAATTTGGGTTTCGGTGAGGATTGAAGAGCATAATCTTAACCATACACATATGAATAATTCAGAAATCAAATTCATAGGTTGGATAATTATTGTCGGGAAAGATGGAAGAATTTTTGTGAAGAAGTAGAATTATCTTTTTAATTCTACTTTTAAATTATATTTTTTTTTCTCAAACAATTAAAGATTTTAGCAGTTCAATGTATGCAGTTATATGTATCACTATATATAATTAACTTGGTTCAATGTAAGAGTTATACGAATTCAAGTCCTTTTTTTGTATACGGTTATCAAAAAGCTTCGCAATTTGCATCGCCTCCATTTCTAGACGAATTTTTTTCAAGGCTTTATAAGAGTCTATGCCATCAACAAATCAGTCACAAAGTTTTGGGAGACAAATCTAATACATTAAAAAACACCAAAATACCATCGTCTACCTCTCGAAAGAAACCTCTATTCTAACAAATTTGTAAAGAAGAATGTAACAACCATTCTTACAAATAAATGATGTAAACAAAGATTTGGTTTGCAAATAACAAATCGATTATATATGACTGATGATAAGAAAATGAAACGATGTGGCATTAGATGGATATACCATTCCATTTATTCGGCTATACATGATGTTTTTGGAAAAAAACAAATGTTATGATTTCACAGTGACAACGGATATCATATACATAAATCAAGTTATAATATACTTTAAAGAATATGCAAACAATTGAACAAGAATGTTGTAAAGTAACCACCTAAAGATTGATTAGAAGACGAGTGCATATGAAAGAAACATAAGATGATGCATTACATATTTGCGACTTTCAGGATCCAATATACATATATATTGAGTTGGTTCTCATGTGTCTAGGAGGGTTTGCCCCGAGGATGCCAGTTCTTTTGTTCAATTCTTTGATAATCAAAGTTCATGTGTAGTTAAATAAAAAGATATGAATTGAAATTATCAAATTACATTCAGTCTAAAAGGACGGAATAATCTTAATTTATATGAAAGAATTGTAAATATAATGTAGAGAAATTATTGAACAGTAAAAAAGTTATGATATTGAACCAAAAAAATGTAACAACAAACAAAACACGAAAATTTTATTTAGAATACATAAAATGGTAGTGAGACAATGTAAACAAGTATGAATTCAAGTTTATTTTATTTAACTATACATGAAATTTGATTACATATTTAATTGAGACAAAATCTCTTAAAAATATTATGAACAAACTTAATCTAAAACACCATAAATTATATCGAATAAATAAATGATACATTATGAAAATGCATGGCGCATGCGCGGGCCAAAAATCTAGTAGAACATAATTTCCATTTTCTCTCTCGATCGTCGTCTTCTTCGTCTTCGAGACAACATAATTCCTCTCCGTCTAGCAAAAAGAGTGTTTAATATCGAGCCGTTTGAAAACTGTTTATGGGGCAAAAAGGCTTGTGAAAGTCTGGTTCAATCTATCATAATAGCTAATTACACCAGAGATTCTTATGTGATTTGTGGATTTGTTCCCGTTCTTCAAATCTGGTTGTATGAGGTGGTTAGTTTTCTTGGAGCACGCTATGGGGGTACGATAGAAGGTGGTGAAGTTCCTGTTCTCTCGTGGCGTGGTGGTCGTAAGCGATTTGATATTGACTAGTGTATTCTTGAAGAGAAAATAGGTAACATAAAGCAAAACAGATTTTAAAACTATTGTATTAATGAGTTCTTAACATCTTTTTATGATATATTTTCAGGTCGATGTCAGACATATTATCTTGAAGCCTCTGGACAGGGATATAGAACCAATATGGACTGATGAAGAAAAGGATGCAAGCGTGGACAAACTACTTCATGATATTCTATATGGATGTATCTCAGCAAATGCTTGGAAAGTTGATGTTACAACAAAGGGCAACCGTGGAGTGGCTGTT